GTCAAAATTTACGTATAGTTACGTAAGATCAAAGCTGCAACAGTTTGTATAGAAGTGATTCATTGAGCGAGGAAGTTTCGACTCCCAGGCTCATGGGAATCACTATAGCGATCCTCGTGTGCTTGCTCGCGACCGCGGCGATCATCAAGTCACTGCTCGCAGGGAGATCGTCCAGACTCCCGCCCGGTCCAATCTCCTTCCCGGTGGTGGGATCTTTGCTCTCGCTCCGCCAGCCCCTCCACCGCCACTTCGCGCGCCTGGCCGATCGCTACGGCCCCATCGTCTTCCTCAAGATCGGCATGGTTCCATACGTTATCGCCAACACCGCTCGCGCCGCCGAGTTCTTCCTCAAGATCCACGACGCCGAGTTCGCCAACCGCCCCCAGTCGGAGGAGTTCTTCCGGATCTTCAGCTTCGGCTGGAGCGACCTGGCCTTCCGCTCACCGGGGCCCGAGTGGAAGCTCATGCGCAAGATCTGCGCCACGAACCTCTTCAGCAACGCTATGCTCGCCACCAGCGCCCCCTACCGGCGATCGCAGCTCCAGTCCGCCATGGACGCCATCCTCGATCGATCACGGGGCGGCGAGCCCGTGAACTTGCGGACCCTCTTCGCCCGATACACGTCGGGGTCGCTGTGCCTGACGCTCTTCAGCGAGGAGTGTCCCGAGGTGGTGGAGACGATCAACAACATGGCCGGGCAGGCGATCAACCTCAACATCGGCGAGATCATCCCGTCGCTCGACTGGATGGATCTCCACGGCGTCTACGCCAAGATGAGAGGCGAGATCATGCCCCGGATCAAGGCGCTGCTCGACGATCAAGTCCGGGAGCACCAGGAGCGCAAGAAGGCGGCGGGCGATGGGTTTGTCTGCCGCGACTTTGTGGACGTTCTCATCTCCCTGGACGAGAGTGACAAGCTCTCGGACCAAGAGATCATCGGCCTCCTGTGTGTAAGTGATCACCATCCTTCTCGATCCTCTTCTCTGCGATATGACGATCGATCGAACTTTCTTCCAGGATATGGTGGGTGCCGGATTCAAAACCTCCATGGAGTCGATCGAGTGGTGCATGGCAGAAGTGATCAGTAAACCCGAGATCATGCGCAAGGCCCAAGAAGAACTGGATCAAATCATCGGGAGGGAGCGCGCGGTGGAAGAACACGATCTTCAAAACCTTCCATTCATCCAGGCGATCCTCAAGGAGGCCCTCCGCCTCCACCCGGCGGTGCCCCTGGGAATGCCCCACTACAACCTCCGCCCCGTGGAGCTCGGCGATGGCCATGGCACCATAATCCCCGCCAAATGCAAACTCCTCGTCAATCTCTGGGCGGCGAACCGCGATCCAGCGCACTGGACAAGCCCCCACGAATTCCAGCCCGAGCGATTCCTGGGGACCAACATCTCGCCCGGGGGGCAGCACTTCCAGATCATCCCATTCTCCGCCGGGAGGAGGATGTGCGCTGGGTATGGCCTTGCCATGCGCTCCCTCTTCTTCCTCCTCGCCAGCCTGCTACACGGATTCATCTGGAGCGAGATCTCGGACAATCCCATCGTACTGGAGGAATCGATCGGAACCATTTCGTGCCCACCTGCGAAGGACCTGATCGTCGCGGCGTCGCCCAGGATCGAGGAGCGAATTCTCGCTCAGTACTAAGAACCCTAATCTGGCAAGAGAATATTCTGGCAAAAGCAATGGATATTCTAGTGTATCAAAGGGGTTTATCGAGGGTTTGATCCAAATGCTCTCGAATCAATGTCCGGTGCTCTGCGAAGATCAGCTCCTCGGTGCCTCCATTCTCAGCGGTGAGATTTCCTGGAGAAATTCTCGAAATATTTGGAGCTTGTAGCCACCCCCGCCTTCTTCCTTGCTCCTCCAGCGCCAGAGCTACTGGGAGACACGCGGAGCAACGCTCGATTGGTTCTCGAATTACTCCAGATTCGACTCGATTATCCGTTAGCAATTCCACAAATCTTCCCTTCCAAGGTTTTAATGGCTGTGTGTGGGAATTCAGGTACCAAGGTCTCAATGAGCGATGCCATAGAAAAGAATACTAATTCCAGGGATGTAAAACAGCAATGTCTAACGACATGGTGGAAGATGGCTAAGAAGAAATCGTCAACACCGATCTATCTTCGGTGGTGATTGACAACTTCAAAGCTAGATATGCTCACGTTCCTCAGCTCTCTTGTATCCTTGGGCTTGGTGATGTTACTTCTTTGCAGCAGCCATATCTTCCTTGACGAAACTTAAGACGTGGCAATAGATTCACGGGACATGAGTGCGTTTCAAGACTGTTCCTTTGATGCGGTCATTGACAAAGGTAACAAAGTAATAGTTTACTCTCAAGAGTCTCCTCTTACATTTTCTTTCTCTTTGTTTTTCAGGCCTGGCCGACGCCATGCTAGTAAGTGCTTGTGTCACCAAAAACATCCTTGTCTAATGCAATTTGCGTTCCTTCTTTCAGTGTGGAGTTGATCCGGCCGAAGGCGTTCTACACATGCTAAGAGAGACTTATCTCGCTTGCAGGATTTTGAGACCACAAGGAGTGTTTATGCTGGTAGGAAGAAAAAAACACTTCTATAGTTCCTGATCTATAAACATTCTCACTGCAGATCACATACAGCCACCCCGAAATACGAATGCCGGCGTTGCAGGAACCAGGATTGAAATGGTCCATCCTTCTGTACGCCTTGGGTATGTTTTGAGCTCAAAACGGGATAAGCTCACTCTGTGTGTTTTCTTCTCAGCCAAGCAAAGCCGTAATGGAAACCATTGAGGGAGTAACTCCAGATTCACTGCCCATTGACGAGCGCAACTGGTCTCAAGATTTTGGAATATATTTAATTAACTTTACTAGCTAAAAGTATTTATCTAACCACATTTTAATCTAAGATACAATTAATTACCTTTTCCCTCACTACTATATAACAGCGAAAATGCTTGTGAGGGTTTATCACTTTCCATCCTCTCCAAGAGCGATCAAGCAAGACCAATCGATCATGGGAGTTCCTGGGTTTTTCGCCTGGCTCGTATCCAAGCATCCTCGGTGCGTGAGGGACGCGATTGATGGTGCCAAGAACAATATTCTTCGCTACGACAACGCAAACTTGTACGTGGACCTCAACACCATCATCTGGGTCATCCTGGAAAGCCACGATTGCCCGCCCACCTTTGCCACTTTTTACCAAGAGTTCCTCGACTCGCTCCGCAAGCTCGTCGCCATGGTGGCTCCGACCAAGCTCGTCTTCCTAGCCCTGGATGGAAGGCCTCCCACCCCCAAGCTCTTCAGCAAGCTCTTCAAGAAGCCGTGTCGCTACAATCGCGATGCTTCTCTCTCCTCCTTGTCCTCCTCGGAGGATGAGCTCGATTCCACCAAAGGTCAGAAAGGTGATCTCATCCCACGCAATCGCAAGGCCAAGATGGCGATGGTCCGCCATGGAACGCCTTTCATGAACGGGCTGGAGAGTGAACTGCGACGATTTGTGGCAAGCATGATGCTGTCAAGTTCATATGATCATCGCTGGAGGAGATCAATGACTAGCTCGAGGCTCCAGTGGATCGTTTCCACGTCCGAGGAGGACGGGGAGGGCGAGCTCAAGATCTTCAACCACATACGGGCTCTGCCGTTCAACGCCCACGACTTCCACTGCGTGGTTGGACGCGACGCCGACTTGATCATGCTGGCTCTCGCTAGCCCGCTCTCCAGGAAGATCAACATCGTCCGCCAGACGCCGAAGGACGGAGTGATGATTTACAAGCTCATCAGCATCGAGACGCTCGTGCGTGATTTCGAGGTGCAGATGGAAGAGCCGTGCTCCGTGCGGCTGCGGTCCACCATGAGGGATCTCGTGTTCCTATGCTTCCTTCTGGGGAACGATTTCCTGCCCGGCCTGGAGGCGCTCACAATCCGAAACAATGGCATCGACAAGCTCCAGCAAACGTACATGGAGGTTTTCAGCGAGGCAGGGGAGTTTATAATCAACTGTGATGGGCATGTCAACATGAGAGCGCTGGAGCGATTTCTATTGCATCTGCCGAAGCAACTAAGGACATCAAAGAAGTTAGAATCTAGTGTTGAGACGAGCATGATAATGTGGTCATCGTATATCAACATTCTAAGGTGGTGCGCAGACTATTATTTCAATGGAGTGGTGTTGGACGAGTCCTACTACTCGTGGGAGAATGCTCCAGCCATGGGAAGATTCATCAACTTCATGGGCACACACTCATGTGGCACGGTAAATTCAAGACCTCTACTCCCACCAGTTACTGCTACGAGCGTTCTTAACTTAAGACCTCAGTGGTTGAAATCTTGTTAATATCGTATGGAATGACTGTAAATTCTAGTGAGAGCAAAAGGGAAGATCGAACTTAGATCTTTAATACTAATATATGCATTTTAAAATCACAAAGAGTTCCCAGTATGAGTCGGAGGAGCGACCAAGCAATCCAGCCGCCGGCTTCCTGCTATTGCAGAAGCTTCTACTTCTCGGCACGGGTCTTGGAGAAGAGTGGTGGCAACCTTGAGGTTCTTGACGGCCTGGATGGTCGTGCCTGGCACCTTGCTCACAAGCCCCAGCAGCACGTCCACCTTGCACCCCTGCTCGATGGTCAGCTCGATGCTCAGCCTGTGGAGCTCCTAATCGACGGCGGCAGCATGAGAATGTGCCATCTCCCACGCTTGGATATGATCCCTGGTCTCGATGGAGCACCGCCGATCGAGTTGAGCGAGACGTTGAGCCGGTCCTGCCTGTAAGTCCGGACGTGTGAGGTAGAAGGCGTTGTGAGGGTCCGTCGTCACCTTTGCCTTGTCGTATCTAGAGTCGAGAGAGTCTGGCACGCCACCAGGAGCGTCGTCCAAGTCCGGTTGAAAAGGCATGGTGTCGATGAGCTCCACGGCCTGGCCGAACAGCCCCGTCCGGCACATGGGATCCGTCAGGCAGTCGTAGTGAGCCAGCGTCGTTCTCACGCCATGATAGTCTTGGATCATGTTGGCGAAGTCAGGTGGATGCCGCTTGATCACTTCCACCATCATCATCCCGTTCTCGCTGAGAGGAGAGTCCCTGCCTTCTTAGCAAGTTTGCGGCATTTGAAAGCCGGATGATCACAGTAATGATCCACCGCCTCTGGTGCCTTCCTCTTGTTTCGAAGCAGCTCAAACCCCGAGTAGAATAGTCCTGTTTACAAGGAAAAGAGTTAGCCGATCACAGAAATCACGAAACAAACTTACTGTCAGGGAGAGTAAGTTCCCAGGGATTGAGAGGCGGATGATCACAGTAATGATCCACCACCGGCGGTGCCTTCCTCTTGTTTCCGAGCAGCTCAAACTCCCGGTAGAATAGCCCTGTTTACAAGGGAAAGAGTTAGCCGATCCCCCGTACAAATCAAGAAACAAACTTACTGTTACAGAGAGTAACTTTGAGGCGATCAAGAGGCGGGTGATCATAGTAATCCGGTGGTGCCTTCCTCTTGTTTCCAAGCAGCTCCACTCGATCATGGTAGAATAGCCCTGTTAGGAAAAGAGTTAGCCAATCCCTCAGAAATCACGAAAAAACTTACTGTTAGGGAAAGTATGTTTGCGGTAATCGAGAGGGCCGTGATCATGGTAATGATCCACCGCCGGAGGTGCCTTTCCAAGCAGCTCCACTGCGCCAAACTCCGGGTAGAATAGCCCTGTTTACAAAAAAAAGAGTTAGCCAGAAATCACGAAACCAGACGAGATCATGGGAACCTTGACCCAGCTCGGGCTTCCAGGAGAGCTCCTGTAGCTCCACCACCTTTTCATCGTCACAGCGTCCGATTTGCTGCCGCTCGGGCGGTTTGATGCAAAGCTGTTCGAGGGAGGATTCGTGCTGCGCCAAAAGAGAGCATTAACAGAAAAGGAAAGGAAGGGGAAAACGAGAAAGGAAGAAGAGCCATACCTTTTCCTGTGCAGCTTCCATTTCCTGAGCCTGCAAGAACGAGGAAAGAAATCTTGAGAAGAAGACCTAAAAAAACTTACCTGGATGAGAGAGTCCAAATCGTCCGGGAGCTCATCCTTGACATTCCACTCGGTGCATACAAAATCGAGAGCAAAAATTATCTCCACAATCTGTAACATCTCCAGCAACACCATCTTGGAGAGAGAGAGAGAGAGCGAGAACAAGCAAATACCTAAAGAGAGATTATTTTGTAGTCTGGAAGTTTAGGGCTTTGGACGATCGAGGCATGGTACTCACTGCGCTGGTCGACATGTATGGCGTCTCTGACTCGCTGGATTCCAAGAGGATGGCCTTCTGGACGGCCGTGATCTTCCCACGTGCATAGCACTCTACCTCACTGGTGATGTTGCATCTCCATCGTTTCGCGAAGATGGGAGAACACGCTCAAATCTCTTCCCACCTGCCAAGAACTTGGTGTCGTCATGACTGCCTCGCCGTGGCTCCACTTATGCCCAACGAGGGAACTCCCGTACTTCTCCAGCGTCGGGGCTCCGATACACAGTTTTGTAAATGTTTTAATAATCAAATTATAAAGATGTTTATAGTTTATAAACTTTCAAGTATATTCTATTTAATGTATATAATTTATAACATTCTTAAATACATATTGCATGTTTCATATAAGTTGATTTGTGTTTTGGTATGCCATTGGATACTGCCATTTATGACTGCTTCAGAAAACAGGTTAACACCAAATATTTCTGGCTCTTTGTTTTGCAACTTCAATTTTTGTAAACTCCCTCTCTTTGCATGGGAGGCAATGAAGTGCCACCATGAAAAGAGAGAGAGGGATGGGAGGAAGGAGAGCACGGGAGGCCTCCCATTAAACACCATCCTTCTCCACCTAGCTGGCAATGGTGTGGCATGATTACATAGCATTTCTCTCTGTCCGACTCTCTCTCTCTCTCTCTCTCTCTCTCTCTCTCTCTCTCTGTGGTGCTGCCACACAACATTACTTCCAATCACTTTAACTTGGACCAAAGCCTCTTTCATAGGACAGAGATGAGAGAAAAGAGGGTCTTGTCCTGGTATTTTCCTAGTCTTTTCCTTTGCATGCAATGCTAACCAGTGTGTAAGTATCTCTCCTTTTGCTTTGCTCATCTAGATTGGCGGATGTTGGGATACCCTTTTCTCTAAGGGGTTTGAGGTTCTTCTCTGGAATGGAAATGCTAGTCAACCCAAGCAGCAGCAGCAGCAGCAGCTAGGTTGGAAGTGGTCTTCTTTTTGCTCTCAAGGGGCAGCAACAATGATCATATGGAGGTTTCTATGAATTTGTGAAGCTCAGTGGTACTATTAGCTTTGGCATTATGGAATATGGGCATGCTCTTCATCTTTGCACAACCTGGAGCTAGTAACTATTGCTACATAGTCTTCTCCTCTTGGATCATCCTTAGTCTTATTTTTCCAACGGATGCCTTGCAAGTTTTCAAGCACACTCTTGGGAATCCACCAGAACTTCACAGGTGGATAGGTGATGATCCTTGCTTAGTTTTGTCGTCATGGAGAGGAATCAAATGTGGTGGAGATAGCCATGCTATTGTCCCACTGTTCAAATTCTTTTTTTCTTCATGAAGAACAAATAATGGTAAAAAATGTTTCTAAACTCCAAAATGTCAAAGTGCCAATCAAAAGCTGAGAAAAACCATAGTCGTTGGATGGACAGATGCAGATGGGAGTGGAAAGAGAGAAATGCTATGTAATCACGAGTACTTACCCAATAAATGTTAGGTGGTTTACAAAGAAGTTTTATATTAGTGTTGATTATAAAAACAAAAGGATCTTGAGGAAGGAAGTGGCCTTTGTGTGTGGTGTTTTAAACTTTAATTCCAAGTCCATGTGGTGATGTGCATCTTGATAAAGCCACATAAAGTTGTCCATGAGTGAAAATTGGGTGGGGCAAGTAAACTCCAACTCAGTCAAATGTCTGTCCTTGGCATTTGAAGATTGTTAAGTAGTAACCTAGATGAATTGGAAATTGTCTTTTGAACATTTTGAATGGAATTTCTGTATTTAATGCTATTAGTGTGATATATGGGATAAAAACTTTTGTCCCTTTAAATTGCCTCATCACAATTTCACAATTTAAAACATTTGGTAATGCATTTTTCAAGATGAGAAGTGTGTTGTTACATAATCCTATTGATGGACACAATTCTTTAGGAGGATAAGAATAACACCTTGTTTGAGAGAGAGTTTATATGGTGGGAGACCAGAAGGTGTTATAGAATTTAGGAATTCTATTGGAAAGCTTTCAAGATATTTAGTGTTAACAAAATCAATGTTTTCATAAATATATGTATCATTTTGTAATTTAGAGACAATAGTGTTGTTAATTGCAAATGTGTCATTGTTAATTTTCTAAATAATCACCATAATTTATTCATTTTTACAAAACTTGAAACAATTTATGCCCTATATCCATGTGGAATGACTGAAAGTGTTTGTCTAAAGTCCCCACTAGTAATAACAATTATGCCACCAAAAGGTAATGATGTATTTCTTAGGTCTCACAACACTTGATCAACAACAGTGAATACATGAATGTGAACCATATTTATTTTATCCCATAACAATGCATTAGTAGTTTTGATTCTTTTACTTGCTTCACTATTAGCAGTTATAGTAGAAGTTGATGTTTTATTTATTGGAATAAAAAATTTAAAAGTAGTGTGTGAGGTTTGGTCATTATAAAGTAAAGTATTTGCAATTCCTATCCAAGCTATGTTAGCAACATTTATTTTTCTCAGTTGTAAAATATTTATAAGAGTGTTAAGAAGAATGTTTTACCAATACCACCAAGGCCATCAATGAAAATATATCGATTATGATCAATAAAAATATCATTAAAAATATTTAACTGTTCTTGATTAAATTGAGGAATATTTTGTTCAACATTTTGATATATTTGTGTTGAGTTGACAATATTTTCATCATCAAAATTTTCAAATGGGAAAAAATACGTGTTAGTTTTGATTAGTTTTGCCATGCATTCTCATTTTAATTTTTGTATCATGTAAAGCATATTCATAATGAAAAAATTGATTTTTTTTGCATGAAATCTTCACAAAGGAAGTCTTTAAATTTATCCCATAAGAAGTATAGATTTTTTGGAGTGCAAAAGATACAAAGTAATACAAATAATTGTCTTAATTGTGATGACATTATAAAAAAGTAAGTATTTTTTAAACATTTTTCCCATTCAATATCATCAGCTATAAACCCCATTGCATTTGCAACTTGTTGAAATGTGTCATAATAAATATTATTAACTGTCTTGAGATCTTTGAAAGACGTAGCACTTTTTTTATGAAATAAAATAAGATGTAAACGATATAATTCAACATTGGATGGCGATATAAAATACATTCACGACATGACATTTTTTATATGTCGAATTTGCCAATTATGAGTATGAGAGTTAAATGTATAATATAAAATGATTTCAGGATATATATATTGTTTAGCATTTAGGTCATTTATATTTAATTTAAACTATTTTTTCAACATCATACCATTTTGAGTAGCTTTTTGAAGTGTTATTGTTCAGAACTTTCTATAAAATAGACATCTTAAAAATTTGGAAGATGGATAGGAAAATAGATTATAAAGGTTGAATGATCATGCATTTTAAATTTAAAGAGTCTCTATATTTGGCTCTAGAGTAGATACATAATATGTATTTAAAAAAGTTGAGATTTCATTCTAATTTAAAATATTGTCAGATTGTTGGGTTGCTGAATGGATTTCAATTGTAACACAATTATAATATTTATAAATATATTTAAATAAATATTTAATACTTTTTATAGTAGCACAAATTTCAATATTAATATGAGCATTATATTTTTTACAAAGGTATTTATTATAAGGCACTACCCAATGATTATCAATATAGCACCCAAGTTTTAGAAATATGCAGCCATTATCAAGGCTATAATAATTTAGATATCCATCAACACTAAAAGTAATTTTATAATTAAATTTTTTTGGATAACCTTTTACAGAAGTGCCATTTTCCATGCAAAGACTATTGGGTGTTTACTTGTTTCTAACAAGTGCTCTCTCTCTTGCTTTCCAAGATGTTGTTTGAGCTACTACAGATAGCAGAAATCGTGCTTGCCTGAATGTCAAGGATGAGCTCCCGAGCAATTTAGCTGCTCTAATTGAGGTGAGTTTTGGGGCTTCTTCTCAATCTCTCATTCCTGCTTTTAGGCTCAGGAAATTGAAGCTGCACAGGAAAAGGCTAGTGTTTCTCCTTTTCCTCTCTCATTTTCAGACTCTCCTCTCAGCGAGAACTGGATGATAATGATGGAAGTGATCAAGCGTCATCCACTTGAGATGCAGCAGGTCTTTAACTTCACCAACATCTATCATGGCATGAGCCTGGCGCTGGCTCACTACGACTGCCTGGCGGATCCTGTGCCGGAAGGGGCTGCTCGGGCCAAGGACAGCATGCCTTTCGAGCCGGGCGTGGGTGATGCTCCTGGCGGCGTGCCAGACTCAATCAACTCTCTACTGGTGCAAGGCTCTGGCAATGAAGCCTCACAACACCAAGATCTACTTCGCGGATCATGTGTCCAGAAGGACAGGCTCAACGTCTCGGACAAGCTCAACTCAATCTAGCGTCAGGTCGGGCGGTGGACCCACGAGATCATGGCAGCTTATGCGACCAGGCTAAACATTGAGTTGACCATCGAGTGTAGGTGCAGAAGTACCACAGGCCATGCTGCTGAGGCACGCTGCCAGTCAAGAACCTCAAGTCTGCCACCACAATATCAACGTGAGGTTGAGTTCCACCACATTGAGAAGGACATGCGTACAGTAGCAGGAAGCCCTCTTGATTGTTTGGCTCCTCCAACTCACATACTAGGAACTCTTTAGATGCAATTGAAAACTATACTTGAATATTCTCTATTTACAATTTTCTTATCAATGATATAAATTTATCTAAATATAGAGATTACTTTAACAATTTAAAATGTTAA